GTACACACTCGGTAAGCAATCCTACAATTTTTTGTTTATAACGTAGTTTATACGGATTATTTTCAAAAAAATATACGTATTTTGGAAATGTTGAGTCGAATTAGTCTAGAATCGATTAATTTTATGAAAGAAAACCTTTCAAACAGCCGTAGTCCGTAAACTATGATTCCTAGAAAATTGATTCATAAAGAACGGAACGTATCTACCGTCTTATAGGGGGATCTACTGTATATATTTCAAAATCTCTTGTAAGTTTTATTTCTACTTATGGTATCTACCCTTCGTAAAGTGATAAAGGTTTAAAGAGAGTTAAGTTTTGTTGCACGTCCGAAGAAAAAAGAAGGTTGCAGAAACTTGGAAAAACTGGAACAAGAGGGGGAGTAATAGTTTCAAGAAAAATGCGGATGTAATTTATGGAGAGCTCCATGTGAAGTAACCCATCAATAAACGTGATTTATTTACATTTATAGTGAATATGTTTGGTTTACATTTGTCTTACAGAAACTCCACGATGAGCCTGATTATCTGATGTGATGGGCCAGGCATTTGAGCTTTATCTTGCTGCTGCACGCTCCGCTCTTCATAGGTGTTATTATCTATGTTAACAAAACATGTTCGTTTACTAAGAAAATACTGAGAAAAATAAAACTTTGTAAAAACCGATGTTTCATGCAATTAGGTGTATCCATTGTGTTTAGAAACATTTTCAAAGTGCCGAGTGCAAATAACACTACTATTGCTCGGTTTCCTCGTTATTCCAATATTTGCTCAAATTTGAATTACGGCATTAGTTGATGACGAAACATATTTCTCGTGATCTGTAAAACTCTCGTAGGTCCCGAGTTAAATCTAGTTCAATACACAAGTAAAAAAAAATTATAATCAACATAGGGTAATAACGGACTGCTGAAGGAAGTTTAACGTTTCTGCAGAAAAATTACTTCAGAACGAGATACGGGATTTTGATCGGCAACCGACGATACGGTATCAGAGCAACTAGGCCTATATCTAACTTACCGGTGAATCATGATACCAAATCCTTTTTATACCTTGCCGTACAATTAACGGGAGGCAATTCGGTGGCATTCCTGTTACGCTCCTGTGACAATTCCCGCACACTCGAGTCTAAATAAATAGCAATTACGCCCGAAAAGCTATAATAAGTCGGCACACAACAATCTGTCCATAACACATGCACTTTTTGCCTTTGTCATGACGCCGCTTAATTTCTATGGCTTCAGACTGAGGCGTCAATTTCTACGTTAACATTTATTCGATTCAGGATCTAGTAGTTATATGTCGTCGGGTAAAACATACTGTAAGTTACAAACAGAAACATTCGATTTTTTCTCTAACTTTTACAGTAACTGTGCTTAAGAAACACATGACAAGCATAGTTTTCAACGAACACAATATATTAATACGAGGCACTATATAGTTATTACACGTGTTCACCATCTAACCCTCATTTACTCTATATAATATTATACAAATATCAATATCGTTTATTTTTTAATATAAAATTAAATTTCCTATTAACAAACTAAACATTGTTAATGGATACTTTAACACTGAAACTATCCAATTATTCAATTTCTGACTGTAAATATCAAAATAGAGAAACCTGCAAACGGTAATTATTAAATCGAAATTTAGAGATTCTCTCTCTTAATAATTGACAAAAGAATCGTAATTTTAAAATAAATTCGTGGATAGTCATTTACCTTATGTTACCGAGTTCCCGATACTTCTTTTCAATGGTTTCTTTAATACACTTTTTACGATTTTCAGGAATAGCGTCGCTTAGAAATAAGAAAAAAATTCTTATAGATAAATTAATAACATTTATCTCGTTTTTCTAGAAATTTAATCTTACCAACATCTTACATAAATGACTTGAAGGATAACAAACACTGCTATGTTGCAAAGGATCATCCCAGGGATGTTGTACATCATCCAGCTTAAGAAATTGACTTGGTTGCTTTCAGGATACAAACTGCAAATTATAACAATTACAGCAGCATCATTTAGGTAAATAAACAAAGTATCTGACTTTACATTTTAAAAAATGCTCACTCTTCTAACAGTCCTACTAGGATCAAATTTGGAGCTGTACCCACTTCCGTTCCTAAACCACCACAAATTGACGAATAAGCAACACTCAATAGCAAAGCTTTTCTTACGTTTTGGTACTTTCGCTCCAATCTGTATTTAAATTTCATAATATTAAAAATTTACACGAAATTTTTTATAAAAGTGTGATAAGTATTCCTTCAAAAAATATTTTAAAATATTTCGATAGGTCAGAATAACAACATTGACAATCCCTCAATAAGGTAGCATCGAGATTGCTATTAGCAAATTTACATTTTAGTGCATGATTACCGAATATATTTGTACTTAACTCAACCCGAAATACTGCTTATGAGATTCCTTCCAAAGGAAGTATTATTAAATACACTCAAAAAAATACAACTCCATTGACCCGAGGGATATTCCTTCTTGGAAACACCACGAATAGAAACTATGTTCAAATATTATTACCAATGGACGTCTATCACCGCCATAGCGCTACCAAAACTACTTTTTTTGGTATTATAATCAACATAGGGTAATAACGGACTGCTGAAGGAAGTTTAACGTTTCTGCAGAAAAATTACTTCAGAACGAGATACGGGATTTTGATCGGCAACCGACGATACGGTATCAGAGCAACTAGGCCTATATCTAACTTACCGGTGAATCATGATACCAAATCCTTTTTATACCTTGCCGTACAATTAACGGGAGGCAATTCGGTGGCATTCCTGTTACGCTCCTGTGACAATTCCCGCACACTCGAGTCTAAATAAATAGCAATTACGCCCGAAAAGCTATAATAAGTCGGCACACAACAATCTGTCCATAACACATGCACTTTTTGCCTTTGTCATGACGCCGCTTAATTTCTATGGCTTCAGACTGAGGCGTCAATTTCTACGTTAACATTTATTCGATTCAGGATCTAGTAGTTATATGTCGTCGGGTAAAACATACTGTAAGTTACAAACAGAAACATTCGATTTTTTCTCTAACTTTTACAGTAACTGTGCTTAAGAAACACATGACAAGCATAGTTTTCAACGAACACAATATATTAATACGAGGCACTATATAGTTATTACACGTGTTCACCATCTAACCCTCATTTACTCTATATAATATTATACAAATATCAATATCGTTTATTTTTTAATATAAAATTAAATTTCCTATTAACAAACTAAACATTGTTAATGGATACTTTAACACTGAAACTATCCAATTATTCAATTTCTGACTGTAAATATCAAAATAGAGAAACCTGCAAACGGTAATTATTAAATCGAAATTTAGAGATTCTCTCTCTTAATAATTGACAAAAGAATCGTAATTTTAAAATAAATTCGTGGATAGTCATTTACCTTATGTTACCGAGTTCCCGATACTTCTTTTCAATGGTTTCTTTAATACACTTTTTACGATTTTCAGGAATAGCGTCGCTTAGAAATAAGAAAAAAATTCTTATAGATAAATTAATAACATTTATCTCGTTTTTCTAGAAATTTAATCTTACCAACATCTTACATAAATGACTTGAAGGATAACAAACACTGCTATGTTGCAAAGGATCATCCCAGGGATGTTGTACATCATCCAGCTTAAGAAATTGACTTGGTTGCTTTCAGGATACAAACTGCAAATTATAACAATTACAGCAGCATCATTTAGGTAAATAAACAAAGTATCTGACTTTACATTTTAAAAAATGCTCACTCTTCTAACAGTCCTACTAGGATCAAATTTGGAGCTGTACCCACTTCCGTTCCTAAACCACCACAAATTGACGAATAAGCAACACTCAATAGCAAAGCTTTTCTTACGTTTTGGTACTTTCGCTCCAATCTGTATTTAAATTTCATAATATTAAAAATTTACACGAAATTTTTTATAAAAGTGTGATAAGTATTCCTTCAAAAAATATTTTAAAATATTTCGATAGGTCAGAATAACAACATTGACAATCCCTCAATAAGGTAGCATCGAGATTGCTATTAGCAAATTTACATTTTAGTGCATGATTACCGAATATATTTGTACTTAACTCAACCCGAAATACTGCTTATGAGATTCCTTCCAAAGGAAGTATTATTAAATACACTCAAAAAAATACAACTCCATTGACCCGAGGGATATTCCTTCTTGGAAACACCACGAATAGAAACTATGTTCAAATATTATTACCAATGGACGTCTATCACCGCCATAGCGCTACCAAAACTACTTCCATTTTTGCAAAAATACCTCTCATCACTCCTACGGGATACTTTGACATCTATGAGATCATACGACTACCAGTATATTATCCGACTATAAAATCATTCGTCTATTACAATTTATATCCTATTACCGCCTTATCTAGGAATCATCAATCCTACATGTTACTGTCTTATTACGATTTAACAAGATGTCAAACAATACCTATCGCCATATACTCACCAAATGTTCCTATGTGGCAATCACCAAGGCAGAGCTGCGAATATTCTTTATACCTTAGAAACGAAAAATCTATCAATCGTGTCCCCGACGATTAATAATAGCCTACTCACTCTTTGTATATAAAACTCGGCACGTAATACTCTTCTTGTAAAAAAAGTTGCTAACTTCTGTGTCAACCAATTGCTGTTAGTACTTAGTATCATCCATTCGATTCGTTAGAGGTTAAGGATGCCAAGGATAAGGGCATGCACACCATGATGGTCACCATTGACTTCCAGAGAGCGTTTGACCATGCATGGTGGCCTACAATTCTCACAACAATCATGGAAATGGGGTGTCCTAAAAACATATTCAAACGGGTCAAAAACCATTCACATAATAGGAAAGTTATGGTCAGCAGTAACAGCAATACCTATCTACAAAGGGACATCAATAAAGGCTGTCCGCAGGGCTCTAGGTCTGGGCCGTTTCTGTGGAATGTAATGTACGTACAACAGCCTCCTAGGGTTAAATAAAAATACATTCCTCGGGTATTCTGCTATTTCCATTTAAGTACGGACTTCAAACGTTGTAATGGTATTCTAGGAGTTGGCCCACATGTACTGTCCTATTAGTGTAATGCTTCTATAAAGAAGGTGTGTCTTATCATCATACGAAGATTGTACATCTGTAAGGGGACAAGGTGCAGTATAAAATGTTTTATGTAAAGCTAACCTATGTAAGCGTGTTGTGTAATAGTATCTCAATTGTCGCGCTACCAAGAGAGTTAGTACTACCTGTTCTGTATGCTCATCTTGATAAATATGTATATAATCATATTTATCAATCATAGTTTGCTTATTTATTGCATTGCTGGCGCTCACGAATCCCCATTCCCTTCCCACTATCCTATCTAGCTATATTTCTTTTTCACTCTCACTTCTTCAAAACACTTTACTTCTTCTTTCACTTCCGGTTCCGGGGCTATACCTCTGAGTGCAAAGATTGCAGCGCCACAGCACTGGCGAAAATTTAAATTTGCCGACTGGAATTCTTTCGGATGATTGACTTTCGGATAATCGACGCTCTACTGTATTAATTAACATATCTAAATATATAAAATTACTTGTCCTGACTGACTGACTGATTCATCATCGCCCAGAGCAAACCGCTGAACCTAGAGGTAAAATTTGGTACACAGTTAGGGTACGTCACGAAAACGCACACTAAGAAGGGATTTTTCGAAATTCCTCCACAGGGGAGAGAGGGAGAGGATTAAGGCTTAACCGGAAAAACAGCTTCTACTGTACTATTTTAGATGCGATTTTTTGTTTTCAACTACTTTTAGTCTTCATTGAGTACTTAGGTGTATTAAATTCATGACATTTCGGACATTGTTATAAAAATTTTTATCTATTTCGATTTTAAAAATGTTTGAACCGTTTTAAATTCGAATTTCTTATCGCGTATCGGTTCGATTATAGAACGATTGTAAACGTTCCAGAAAATTGATCAAATTGAAAACAGTTCGTTTGATTCTCGGCAATTCTCATCATTCTCGGCGGTAGGTGTTATATAACAATTACTATGGTTGTTGAAATACTGAATATAAATGGGGTTTGCTTGCAAAATCCTCGCAGGTAACAGCTAGTTTTTCTATATTATCCCAGACAGAGAGAGAGAGAGAGTATCATTTCGTATCAAGAGTATAACGAAATTATCATTTTGTTATAAAATAAAAATCAATATTGCTCACTCAGAACAAGCTCGATTTTAGAAAAACCGGGTGATGTGATACTCCGAATTTTAACAAAAATCAATCGTCCATGTCCTCATACTTGCTCAACAATTGTCCTCAGTTACTTGAGAAAAACTCCCCTTACACTTTCTTGACGGCGAAAGCGACGCATTCTCGTGATCTGCTGACCTCTTAGCCGGGAGATGTGGCACTGATATCGGATTTGATGGCCGAAAAGTCAGTCGTCGACAGTCCTTCTTGGATTAAAGACGTCAAAATTTGTTCTGTGTCAGTGAAAATTTTTATGCTCAATCAGTACTCTGTCGGATTTTCACGTTACTTTCTACTGTGCCTAGAAGAACTTTCATGATCCAAACCGGTCCAACGATCCAAATCCTAATCTCAACCTCAATTCGAGAATTTCAAATCAAAAATCATCACCATAGGTTAAGTCGCTATATTGTATTCCGGATATATTTCTCTTCGTTGAAAATAAACGGGTATTTAGTTGTTAACTTTCGTATCTGATTATTTTACTTCCGGCACGCTGTGTCTCATCCCAAATTTAGATCGCGGTCCGATCGCCCGCACACGCGACTGCTCGCGTGACGCGATTGACACCCGATTGACACGGAAACCGAGACGGCGCGCCGTCTCGGTTTCCGTGTCAATCGGGACAAGGTGGTGTCAGTCCTAATAGGGCTCCGAAGAGGTGCCGACAGTCCGGACACATCAAGCTAAGAATCTCTAATATAACTTACAACTAGGACTAACTTAAACTAACTGAATTTCACCGAAAAAAGACGGAAAATAAGAGTTAAAATACAAAGTTGAAAGTAACTACATACCGACAGTTGAAACAAAGCAAGGGAAAGCTAATTGCTATTCGTGCCCCCAGAGAGAGTGCTCCCAAGATATGATATAAGGGATGTGAGAGGTATGAACAAAGGGATATGAATGCGAGTAGATGATGATGCATACTAAGATGGTGCGGGTTGCAAAGCCAGTTGTACCCGTAGTTTAATAGCAGCTCTTATTAAACTATCCCTAATGTGATTGTACTTGTTGAAGCGAAAAACTAAGTGAAGTGATGTTTGGTCCTCCCGAATACCACAATCGCATTGTGGATTATTCCCACGGTTAAATCTATGCAAGTATTGCTTAAAGTTGCCGTGTCCTGTAAGCAGCTGAGTCACAGTAGTGTCAACCTTGGGGATGAAAGTGTAGGGGAGCCTACCAGTAGTGTCACGGTCGCCAGAGAATGAAGATTTGCTTCTTGACGTGATTGTTGATGTACGAAATAGGAATGTAACTGAAAGTACTAGTGACTGAGATATTTATATAGCAATTTAAATCATTCTCTTTAATTTTAGATGCCTGGAAAATGTGTTTCTAGTACGACTAATTGTGATACACAAAATTGAATACACTAAAGTTTTCAGCTTTCCCAAAGATCCCGTTCGATGTAAACACTGGATTAAAGCAAATTCATAAAAAAAGATTTTGAACCAAGCAGTAATGCTATAGTTTATGTCAATCATTTTCATGAATAGTTTATCATTACAGAAGTTCGTGCAATACACGATAATGGTACTGTTTACACTGTTCCACGTAAACATCCAAGTTTAATTAACAAAGGATGCAATTCCTATTATGTTTTCAAATCATCCATCTTACTTATGTACTATATTTTTAAGAAAAAAATGCTGTGTTGCTCGAAAAAAAGAAAAAGGAAGTCTTAAATGGTCACAGAAATTTGCTGTTGTACAGTGCATCAACACCATTCAGACTATTCTGAATGAGTATGAATGTAAATTTTTGGTTTCAAAAAAATGAATGTAATTTAGCAAGATTAGTAATAAACAAATTAGTTGACATAATAAATTTCGTTTCCAAAATATAATTTGAAATTGTAAAAGATGAGAGGATTGAATTAAGGAAACGCTGTCTTGAAATAATATTCAATAAGTTAAATTAAGTAATAAATAATTATTGCAAAACAAGAAGTGATAAGTTAAAGAAACAGAAAACGGAAAGTTAACTATGTTCAATGAGCAGTTATTTATTGTGACACTGTCACAATGTCGGGATGCAATTTTTAATTAGTTTTAATTTATTTAATTTAAAATATATGCACTCCACATCACACTAGTAGTGGCTTGCCCCTGTACATCATACTTTTCCTATATCGATCGAGTCGGGCCAGTCATCTATCTAACGTTTTTCGGGGATAAATATTTCAACTGAAATAACATGACTTTCGGATTGTATTGGATATTTGTATATAGTTAATCGGGGCCTCCCACCACTGCGGTTTCCAGATTCGTTCTCGTCTTTCATCTATCTAATTTTGCTCTCAAGATTAAGAAGAGACAGACGGATGCCAATGGGAATTTATAAGTCTATAGGAATAAATTAAAAAATTTAAAACGATGGAGTCAGAATATTCTAATCTTACTTAATTGTACTGTAATTGAGTACACGAAAATTCGAATTTTCCCTCTTTTCTGACTTACGGAGGCGTAAAACTTTCTGAACTCTAAACCATTTGCTAAATAAAATAGAATTAGATTAAAAAGTTAAAGAAGCAAACCAATTTTACTTTGATAGAGACTATTCTTTATTACAACTTATTTATCCCCCAAATGCATTTCGCCAGTACACTGGCCTCTTCAGTAGGGCTCCAAGCTGCACAATACAGTTCAATTTGCCAGTCACTACAACTATCCATTGTAGTGATTGCTTCCGTAAGTCAGAAAAAAAGGAAAATTCGAATTTTCGTGTACTCAATTACAGTACAATTAAGTAAGATTATAAGTCTATAATTCTTTCAAATTGCAACTCGTAAAGTTAATATTGTGAGATCGCGCACTTGATTTTGCGAAAATTTCATAAAATTACTAAACCTATTTCTAAATTGTGATCGTTAAGAAATCATCGCACAGAAAACATATTGAGTGACAACCTGTTCTATCAACAACTACCTTGTTTATTCCTTTTATTATTCGGCCCTGGTGCTGGTCTTTATGGCATCCCTCCCTCCTCCCTTCAAACACTTTATCCCACCCCGCTCTCTCCATACCCTTCCCCTCCTCTTTAGGCTATGCCAAAGGCTCGGCCATATCTATCTTCACAATCTTCACAATATCTATCAACAACTGGGAGAGAAATATAACAACCGAGCGTTACATTAAACAACTGGCTCTCAAAGGAGGAAAAAGTCGACTGTTGAACGAGTAAGTAGAGGGAATCCAACCAAATATGGTCATGATATTTTCATTTAGACGACAACATCACGTCATCCACAGAGACAACTGACCTCACACCTGTAGATTCGTCGCCAAACAGTCCATCACCTGATCATTTTCCCAGGCAAAATCGAATATAAAAACAAAGCACCCGCACTTCGGGGCATTCGTCTATGGGAAGCGACTTCTCCCGAAGAAGAGGATTCACACGCCATAGACGATCGAGACCTGTGAACTCTCCAAGACTCCATACAGAAGACTCCTTCCCAGACTCCATCCTCCCCCTCATCATAGAAGATGACGGCTCGAATAAGAATGGAAAGACATCGATTACGACTCAACGTCAACCAAGACAGAGAACAGCATCCCTCTCAGAGGTATTTCAATAGCCATATGTAAACTTTCTATCTACGTAAGAAAAACGCGAACGGTGCACGTAAATACTTAGTCGTGTAGCTTTAGGCGTATATTCTTAGTTTTAGATATATTAAACTTGTACTCTATATGTTAACCTAGATACCTGTCACCATCAAACGTTGGACTTTCCACTTCATTCCCCACTCGATCTTGTAGCCCTCCTAGCCATCCAAAGACCACGTGAGCGGATCTTACCTTTATGTCCTTAATGTTTTACTTTTTTGTTTCTATATTGTCTACTTGGATCTCGTTTACAAATAAAACTTATTATACTGGAGTAGTTCCTGATTAGCAAAGAGAAGAAGCAGTTCAGCAAAGTTTATCGTTCATGTTCAAGAATTGCCTGCAAAGATATTGCGTGCAGTGATGGGTCGCAAAGCACTTTCCTTCATAATTATTTTTGGCATCTCCATTAATTATCTTCCCTGTTAATGAAATCCTAGACGATCTAAAACCTACTTAAAGGAGTTTTTAATAATGGAGAAATTCCTCAATTGTTTGAGAAATTTCTCCACGAACAACCGAGGAATTTCACATTTCGTCTACCTTTGGTTGCAGACCTTTTAAAACTTGATTTATTTTTAATGCATTAAATTTTCAGTTTATATTAAGAAACTTCTACAGAAATGTCGCTGTAGATATTAATAACTAATTAAGTGTATAGTACGTTACCTAGTTATGGTGACTTGAACTTGATCTCGGTTATTATCTGCGTATTGAATTGAAAGAATTAATTAATATTATTAATTTATACGCCACAGTTTTTATGGAGACATATGTATAAATATACATATTACCTTCTAGCTGTTTACTTTCTTTCTCTAGTTCGTCCACTACCACTTCAACGATAGGAACCATAAGTGCCGCAACAGAAGTGTTCACCATCCACATTGACAAAAACATTGTGGTCACTATAAAACCCACCATTAACCTACGATATTTAATTGCATTTAAGTTCGCCATTTATTAATACGCAAACATTTACAATAATTGACACAATGAAACATTCAAACTTAAAAATTCGAAGATTGTCCAATAAGCAGCTATTTTTATACTTGTGAACCAAAATGTGCATAAGTTGTAGGTCAGGACCATATTAACGCTCGCAGCGGGCCACATTTGATCCGAGGGTCTTAATTCGAGTCCACATGACAAATAGCTAGGCAAATAGGCCAATAATGCAATTCGTTTTATGTAAAAAGGACTGTTTTTTTCTTGTTTCTTAGTTGCTTCTAACTTAAGACGCAAGCATCACAGTAATGAAAATCATAAGCGTACGTGCCATTTGCTTCGTAAATAACACGTATGCTGTATGTCCTTCGTAAATGCTTACTTACTTACTTATTCTTTATTAGGCACCTTGCAGGTGCATTCCCAGTACCGTATTATACATAGCTGAGAAATATATATACAATTTTTTATATGAAAATATAATTTACAAATGATAAAACCGCTTGACAAATTGTAGGAAGACAAAGTAAACAAGTTATACAATATCAGTATGAATTTTACAAATCGATACCGTGGTAATGAATAGAAATGGTTATACATGTGTTTGGTGTATCAATTTAGATATAATCTTACAGCTTGTCATGCAGGTTATTAAAAAGAAAGTACAGTACATAAGATAAAATAGAGGTGAACGAAAATTCGTAAATGCTATCAGATATTTTTGATATTCATTAATTAATGAAGATGACAGAAAATTTTCATAACAATTTATAATAATCTACTTTTCATCGTGGTGCCAAATAAAATCTGTGCAACCTCGCCATCATAAACGCAAAACCGTTAATTTACCATTTAATACCTAAAACTTATGAACACGATACATACGTTAAAATTTTTACATTTCAATGTTACAAATGTGTATTTACTCTTCTTTCCTCCCCGAAAAAATCAGAAGCAGAAATTCTAAGCAAAAGTCCAACGAGTTCCTTCACTTTCTGGCAACATTTGGTAGCGCCATTTGTTACGATATTTTATTTGTAACCATCATAAACTAGCAAAAAAATTAATTTTAAGGGTAGGGATGGGTTTTATAAAAAAAACTTGTAATGTTAATCTAAATATATAAAATTACTTGTCCTGACTGACGGATTGATTCGTTATCGCCCAGAGCAAAGCGCTGAACCTAGAGGTAAAATTTGGTACACAGTTAGGGTACGTCATGGAAACGCACACTAAGAAGGAATTTTTCAAAATTCCTCCGCGCGGGGGAAAGAGAGAGCATTAACGCTCAACATGAAAAACGGCTTCTACTGTACTATTTTAGATGCGATTTTTTGTTTTCATCTATGTTTAGTCGTCACTGAGTACTTATGTGTATTAAATTGATAACATTTTGGACATTGTTATAAATATTTTTATACATTTCGACTTTTAAACCAAATGTTCGAACCTACACACCAACAGAATGCCGAAAATCTATCGGGCTAGTTTAAGGGTAATTACTAAATAAATTACGTAACCAATTTGGCTCTAGAGGTAAACGTTAGGCGCCATCTCTTATTAACATTAATAATTATAAATTAATTAATTTAAATAATTTAGAACCTCTGGGAGAAAATATCGGCCCGGAGCGGGACTCGAACCCACAACTCCTGCTTATTGTGCAGATGCGTTGCCAGTTACGCTATCCGGACCTCCAATCCGATTTCCTCTTCCAGCGTATAGAAGCTAACTATATAACCATCGACGGTTATTACAACGCCGGCTGGGGACACATTCAGTGCCCACGTCACCTCCAGAGCCAAATTGGTTATGTAATTTATTTAGTAATTAGCCTTAAACTAGCCCGATAGATTTTCGGCATTCTGTTGATGTGTAGCTGTATTGTATATCGGGTTTAGAGATGTTTGTAAATGTTCGAACCGTTTTAAATTCGAATTTCTTATCGCGTATTGGTTCGATTATAGAACGATTGTAAACGTTCCAGAAAATTGGTCAAATTGAAAATAGTTCGTTTGATTCTCGGCAATTCTCGTCATTCTCGGCGGTAGGCGTTATATAACAATTACTATGGTTGTTGAAATACTGAATATAAATGGCGTTTTCTCGCAAAATCCGCGCGGCCGAAGTAACGAATAAAATCGTCATTACAGTAAATCCGACACTACTGAGATACACACGATCCCCTTTATTTTCCCACCCCTTCGACCTTTATCGCCAAAATTTGATATCACCAATTCCCCCTAATACACAAACCACCCTGCAAAATTTCGACGAAAGAAAAATGCCTTAGGGGACACAACAACAACACTGGGCAGATGTGGGTCTTAACTTAAAACAGGTTAGTTAACTATTGTATAAATATATCCAAATAATTATTGTTGTAATTTACCGGAAAAACAAATGTAATAATTACATTTACCAATATATAGAAATGTAAAAAACCTGAAGAGGGATGCAAGTGATACGAAAATATTGCACCCGAAATGCATAATAAGTAAGAAAATAAAGAATACGAAGATAAGCTTTTGTCTCTGATTAAAAGCGGTCCAGGCAAAAACCGGTGGTTATTTCTGTAGAATTAACCAATGAACTTTCCTCAATTTTTTGATGAAATATTTTTGAATAATTGATTTTAAAAAGAATAAAAAGAAAAGTTGTTAAGTGTCAAAGAGAGTGGACAAATTCGTGCTATACACATACACTAGCATCATATATACCAAAAAAACCTGAATGTTTTTTTAATTTCTCGACGTATCAAGGCCCCCTGAGTGCAAAAATGTAAATATCTTGGAAATAATTTTTTAACCGATCGCCATACTTTTCCTCTGTTATATATAACAGTTGGAAAGTAAAATTTTCTTAGAACTTTGGCAATCTCAAAGACTAAGATCAAATGATTAAAATCTTAAATTTACATAAATTATCTCCTTTAATTAATTGAAGAAAGCCACCCGGAAACAAATAGTTCCGAGACTTGTTTTTCATTTAGGCAAGTTTCTTTTGACTAGAAACTCTGTTTGACTAGATAAGTTTCACTGTTAAACTACGGTACATAATAATGATTTACGTCGTATAATAAATCTGCGTGGTTTGCGCTGTTGGCAAGAACATAAACGTTCTATTTCCAACGTTTTCTCTTCTAGAGATTTCAAGTTCTTCGGTTTATCGTCCTCGATTTAGTGCCAATTTCACACACAAATAAATGATAGCACCAAATCATGGCATGGCTGTATATATATGTTCAGTTTCAAAGAGCTTTCTGATTTGAATTTTCACTTTCCGAATCTTATCAGAAATCTAAATCCACCTTCAAAGAAGTCAAAAAGACAAATTGTAATACAGTAAAAGAGAACTGCACGACTTCTCTAATTTATACTTTAATCTTATCTTCTTATAAATCATTCAATTTAATTATCATCACGTGTCTTACTTTGCATAAGTAATAAAATAATTGTGGAAATTAATATTTGACTTCCGAGTAGTTTTTTCAGAAGTCATAAGAGACCGTTGTCACTTTCCTTTCTCGGTGGTTAAGTGGTTCAAAAATTATATTATAATTTATAAATAAACATCAGATAAAAAATAAAGATTATTTTTTCCCTTAATACAAAGTGAATGACTAACTTGAAACAAATATTTGTGAAATGTGAGCCCCTGACGAAACTACCCTGCTGGCCCCTTTCAATACCAAATAAAAATTAGTTTAACTTGCAGTGAAATTTAAATATTTATGTTTTATCTTTAATCTTACCAGCGTATCGTAGTTCCCAGCGTTAACAAAACTTTCAGCGCGATCCTCCTGTGTAAATTACACTCTTCGACAGCAGCCGCTATTATTAAACTTCCCAAAAACATCATAATAATGTCCTAGGAAATATTTGGAAGATCCATTAAAGTCTGTTTAAGTATAACGAATAAGAATTGTTCTCTTAAAGCTCACTTTGTAATAAAATGGAGTTATTTCCATGGTAGGCATTATCCCCAAAATCGGAAACAACACAATGGGAAATAACGACGTCACGGCTGCGGGAATCGGTTCGAAAACGTAGTAACAAGCCATCCATAGGATGACAAATGCGCATTTTGTTTCCTACGTACAAAATAAAAACGAATGATTAAGTATTTAATTAACATTAATAATTGCGATAGCCGTAATAAAATGGAATTACCTGAGAGTCGTAAAGAAGTAAAATCGGAGTTAAAGCGAAAGGTACGAAAACGGCAAACAAGACTTTCCACGTATGTTTCAAGAAACACATTTCTCCACGTGTCACGAATTTGTCGACTTTTTCTAAGTAAATAAATTATCTTGTTTACGTCATAACATTGAGAAACTCAGATAAAAGCGTGTCATAAATTCAATTTTATTGTTATTTCTCAACACATTATAATAAAAAAATAATTTTTTGCACTAGTATAATTCAATCCAAATTATAATTTAAAAAACCATATTGAAAACGCTGGGCTGGGAATATTGAAAATTTTGATATTTATCCTGAGAATTGTCTTACCGACAATTCTCAGGATAAATATCAAAATTTAAGAAAAGTTAAGACGAAACTACTGGCGGTTAGTGTTTAAATCCGATCTTTATTACTCTATTTATCGCATGGTTGTTAGCGACATAAACACACAATTCATACAATAATTCGTCATACAACAATTTTCCAAAGTCGACTATTTATCATGTAATCTAAATAGTCCGACCAGGTGTCATTCGACTACCGCTTGAACGGGTAAAGATCGTTGTGTTTGTGCAGTATTTTCAAGCATATAACGGCACACTCTTATACGTATAACATTATTTACCATCAACACAGTCAAAGTTTTTAACTACAATAACTGTTTAATGAGATAATCAACGATCGCCTGAAAGATCGGGCTAGAATTTGGCTAATTAAATGATTATTATAAAGTAATCTGTCGCTAGGGGATACATTAGGCGCCATATCGTAACTAAATTAATAATTATAATTTTAATAAATCAATATATATTATAAAGATAAGTGTACAATGTGCGTGCCGCTAAAACTGAAAAACCAGTCCCGGTACGATCAAGAGAGTTATATGGTGTGGTATCCCTCTATCCCTCATCCACGAAGAAGGTTCCCGTTTTTACCCGAACGGCGTGCTGTTGAAGATATAAGGGCTGGAAGTTTCGCCCTTTAGCATTCCAGAATGTTCCGGAATGTTCTGGAACGTTGGGGAACATCCCGGAACATCCCAGATCATTGTGGAACATTCCAGAACACTCTCGAATGTTGTGGAATGTTTTGGAACATCGTGAACCATTCGAAGACTTTTTTGTATGGGTGGGACTACCCGTTGGTGGGGGTATATAAAACAAAATCCGTCGTGGGTTCGAACGTCAGTTTCTTATCAGTGACGAAGGGAAGAACCGAAAAAGAAGTGAAAATTCCATTATTAGAAACGTTTAGAACGTTCGAAATTTTCGACAAACACTTCCAGTTATCTCCAATTCAACACCAGCAGACGAGATCAATGCATGCTTTAATTTAATCCCAGAATAGGCTACCACTGATCTATACTGAACTGCCATTCCAATTTAAAAGACTGCAATTTCCAATCAAATTAGCCTATAGTTTTAAATTAAATAAGCGCAAAGACACACTTTAAAACATTGCGGCATCAACCTCAAAAACTCCCGCTTCTCTCACGGTCAACTATACGTAGCTTGCTCTCGAGTATGAAATTCGAAAAATTTGTACATATATATCCCGGTTAACAAAATGAAAAATGTTGTTTATAAACAAGTGTGAGGACCCAAACGGGGTCCGAAAGGAGGCCATTAACGACTTTTTGAATGAGTCAAGTTTCGTAGCGCGAAAGAGAGAACTTAAAGATCGGATTTAAACAATGAACCTTTTGTCTTATTAAAAGATTTTAGACAATAGTTAGAGTAAAGTCGAGGAAAACGAGGTGGGAGAAGAGTCGTGTTCCGACGCGACGTTGACCTCTCACGTACCCTTCGGTGGGGTTTCGAATTGTCACCAGGTGACAAGGAGAGACCAATGGAAAGGCGGCTGAGGTTGTGGAATCTATAAAACGTTCTTGGTTCATAGTCTTACCCTCCTGGGGCCTTAGTCTCGAGTTTTTCGTGTTACAACTCCCAACGTGTTGAAGGTGTCACGTGGTACCATCTCACAAACTGACGTCAAATTGGTAGTCTCGAGTTCCAACTCACGTGCTTTCCCATCTCACCGTGCGAGTTGCTACTCACGTTGAGTCGAGCATGTGAGATCGCTACACGAAAGTAAAAATGGCTGACGGATACGCAATTCTTATCGCTATCGAAGAGTTAGAAAGAGCCGGAAGACGTTGTTTGAGAAGACAACGAATTTTTCGACCACAGTAGATGACATTTCTTTTCGCATCAAGTCAATACTAATAAAAAAATTTTAATTCATAATCGATAAAATTATACAGCAAATTTTTCAAAAATAAAAAGTATCTGATTCATCGAAAAAGAGTATTAAAATGATAGTAAATTATATGTATAGATTATTAAAAGCATAGACACTACATTAAGATTATTTATTAATCAGAAGTGCTAAGTTCTGATTAATAAATAATCATAATTAGGCTTACCAGACGTCCCGTTTTGACCGGGATTGTCCCAGTTTGACTATGTTGTCCCAGCGTCCCGGCCAGTTTGTCATTTTGTCCCGGTTATTTGGTAAAATTTTAAAGTGCCGAATATACAAGAAGTAAAAATAGTGCAGCCTCGAGTAAAATGGCGATTTGGCACTTACCCCTCTGTTACACTCACTGTTGTCAATCTAAATATTTCGTATCTAGATCGTACTTTTAATGTTGTCTATATGTTTTCCTCAAAAATTTATAGCATATGGCCTAATGAATTTAGATGTTTTATTTTGTCATTCAGATATTTTTTCACAGAATTTATAATAGCACGTAGTCAATGACATCTAGATATTTTTATTTCATTTTTTTTTTAGATATTTTGTTTCAATTAGAGTTGGCAAGACTGAAACTTACACTGGCCACGTCATTGCTGTGCATGTCATCTCTTAGTCGAGTTCAAATTGCTGATCGGCATTTGCAATTATTTCGTACAGTATCTGCGCATTCTTTTATTCAGCGTTTGCAGCCCTTTTAGCGCATGTGTTCAATTATTAAGCCTACTGTCAGCGCGCTTAAGGTGCTCTTTCAGCGCACTAGCAGCACCTCTCGATTACGCTAAAAATAGTGCTTACAAGATGGAAGCATCCATGAGAAAGTATCTTTTTCGACTACCAAATAATAATCAGTTTTTTGCTCTTTTAAATAAGCAGATTTTTAATCGTGACATACGAAAATGGCTTTTAAAGATTTCATTCGAATACTGTGGTACGATATTGTGAACGTAACCAACGATTTTTGCACGCTTTCTTCGTTGTTGGGAATCAGTCATAGCCAATGCCATAAATAAATCATCATTTCCTTGTTTTCTTATAAATAACATCGAACTTAATGGCCTTTCTTCTAATATGCGCGTAAATATAGAAGAAAGAAAAACATTGTTTATATCAGCCATTTTGAGATAGCTCTTTCTCCGGCAAAAGTGTTTTCAACCGTCAACAGCGAAAACGTCATTTCCGGCAGCAACTGCTCAGCGCACTGCTGAATGAAAGAATGCGCGGTATATTAAATTCATTTAATCTCTAAAATGCCAAAAAGAAACCATGTGTTTATTGATGATTGAAAAAAAAGTTCTATGATCGTATTGACAAAGTGAAATATGATCTGTGCTTTTCATAATTTTCAGTAACTCATGGTGAGCATCAAACATTTAAAATCATTTGAAATGTGTGAAACCTAAGGCAAGCAATAGGAACTTCCTCAAATGTATTGCCATATTTTAAATGTACCGATTTAAACGACAAAGAATTTTTAAAATAAATATTAATAATAAGATATGTTTAGTTCAGTTATTAAAAATTGCTTTTAACTCGTTGTTTTTGTTAACAAACTACTTTATTTAGCCTTTTCAATCATAGATACTTATCCTAGTAAGCTAATTTTCTGTTGCGAGTATTTTCTCAAAATTGTCCCGGTTTGAGAAGAAAATATTATGGTAAGCCTAGTCCTATGTCCTGTCAAAGTAGTCCCTTCAGCAATATATACACAAGTGCCAACGTTTCTGGAGGTCTTGGAAGCAAGCAGTGAAAGTGCCAAGTGTGATGCTTGTTAGCTCATTTGTCACAGTCCGTTGGATGTCTGCGATATCTTGACGAAACGCCCCTTTCATCTACCTGCCTTTTCACTCGTGGAAACGACAAAAAAAATCACACTTTTCTGACAAAGAGTTGAAACTAAAAGGGACGTTTGGTCAAGATATCGCAGACATCCAACAGACTGTGACAAATGAGTTACCAATCATTACACTTGAAGCTTTCTCTGCTCGCTTCCAAGAGCTCCAGAAGCGTTGGCAATTGCGTATAGATAGCTGAGAAAACTATCTATACGCAATTTTCTATTTTTTACGAGCTTTGTCCTGGAACTTTTCTGACAAAGAGTGTAAATATAATAACTGTTTATTAGTTAGGCCTACTAATAAATAACAGTGAATTTTAGATTTAACTGCGGCATGTAATATTTTAATTGAGTTATTTTTTAATTTTACAATAAGTAAATAGGGGAAAAGAATGAGAAAAACCGAAACCGTGGAAACAATCGAAATTTGCGATGTGTAAAAATTGGTAAAAAAAAGTTTATACGTAAATATAAAACTAATTACCAAAATATGAGGACCTTATCGGAGACCATTTCCCCCCCAAAAATTGTTGTTATTGTATATATATGTATTTGTGAATTGTTATTTACATTATCTGTATAATTTATAACAACTTATGCAGATAATATACATTATCTGTACAAGTTGTGAAAATTGTTCCATTTCTCAAATTACCTACATAATATGCAGAGTATGTAGGTAATCCGCACATTACCTACTAGACATGTTTGTGGTAGTTTTAGTTTTCTGACAAGTTGTATAACAACATTATGTAACTTATTAAACAGAATAAATATTCTATGTTGTTTGTAAACTGAAAACACACTTTAAAATTTCAAACAAAATGCAGTAATTGAAATTAAAACTTTCAGTCATTTAAATTAATATTTCATAATAATTGAGGGTAATGCAACAGTACAAATTGCATATTATAATAAGTAACTCTTGCTTAATAATCATTTTATTATAAAATAAACAATAAATAAGGATGAA